GGGAGTGTGTACACCTTTCACCTTTTGGTTTCTGTGTGTAAATTGTTTTTGTAAACCTTGAAGAAAAGAAGCCGTAAAATTGATCCCTGTGGAACCCCACTAGTGACAGCCTGATGACATCCCATTCATTATAACCCCTTTTGGCCGAGTTTCTCACACATCATATGATGTGTTTATCCAGCTGTGGGCTGGACATTTTCTCCAAAAGGGTCCTGTGAGAGACAGTACTGGAAGTTTCACTAAAATCCAAAAATTTATATCAAATAAGCTTTTCAGACAAGCAGGTCAGGTTAGATAAGCAGAACTTTTCCTCTCGTGAAACTGTGCTGGTTGTAACTGATGCCTGCATTGCTCTTCAGTTGTTGTATAGTACCCCCAAATCACCTTCTTCACAGCTTTATCAAGCACTGAAGTGACAACTTGTAACTTCCAGGACTGTAGTTCTTACCCTTGAAAATTTGGACCATGTTAGCCACCTTCCAGTTGACGGAGACCTCTCCAGATTCCCAAGACCATTCAAAAATCATTGAGAGATGCCTCAGAATGACATCACCCAGCTCTTTGGGTATTCTCAGATGAATCCTATCAACCCCCATAGACTTTCAGGGATCCAAATGGAGTACTAGATTGTGAACAACTTCAGGGTTGACCAGGAATTTATCACTCTCATTTATCACAGACATGATCCTCCAGCTCAGAGCCTCAGTACCCCAGATTCCATCATCTATGCTGTAGAAGGAGGCACATAAAGTATTAAACATCTCTGTCTTGTATATGTCCCTACTCATGAGGCGACAGTCCTCATGCGGTAATGGGCTGATTTTAATCTCACGTTGCCTTTTGTTATTTTAAAGGCTCTTTTTATTGCTTCCCATAGTACTGACCAGCTTCAATTCCAATTGGTTTTGGCTAGACAAATTTTCTCCCTAGAGTGGCAAGCAGCATCTCTGTATTTTTATTATATCACCTGACCCTGCTTCCACTGGGCAAATACTTTATTTTATTTTATTAGCTCCATTTTGGAGCTGCGTGCTTCATGGCCTTAGGAACTGTTGCTTAAATAGTGATCAAAGCTTATGAACCCTGGCACCTTCAAAAACATTTTTCCCAGGAGACCTCACTAACTAGTTACCTGAGCAGCCTGAGCACTCTTCTTATGTCCAGAGTTGAGGTTTTGCTGGCGTTTTTCCTCCTGCCAACAGAAATTTTTAACTCAATGGCTTTGTGTTCAGTGGGGCCAAGACAGCCATCAATCACCACTCATGAGACACTCAGTTAACAAGCAGCAAGTCAAGGAGGGCATATATTCTGGTTGGTCCCTCACTGCTTTTACCATGAAGCCGTCATCCATGTTTCTTAAGAATCTCCTGGACCTCGTTGTGCCAGCCATGTGATCTTCCCAGTCAGCATCTAGCAAGCTGAAGTCCCATGTAAGGAGAAGGGCAGTTGATTTGAAGGTATCCTTTAGTTCCTTGAGGAATAATTCATCAATGTTAACACCCTGGCTAGGTGGTCCACAGTAGACTCCCGTGGTGTCATCCTCACTATTTGTTTGTTGCTTAATCCTTAACCAGAATCTCTTCACCTTGCCATTGCCATCTGCAGCCTTTATACATTCTAGTCCTCTGTTACATACAATGCCACCTCCTCCGCCTTACTGGCCCTGCCCATCTCTCCCGAATAACCTGTAACCACCAATCGCCTTAGGCAACCCCCCAGGTGTTCCTTCTTCTAACTCATCGTTTTCCTGGTCGTCAGTTTCCAGACCCTCATGTCTCTTTCACAGGGGCACCTGGGAAGAGAAGCGGATTCGCCTGGCACCCTGAGCAGGGACCTGCCTCTATTCCCTGCCTGACTCTTAAATCCACTTCTGCCTGATGGGGAGACAGTAGGGGGTTGTCCGCTTCCTGAGGTGCAGCCAGCTGGTATGCTGGCCTCGGCGTTGGTACAAGTTAGCTCTGCCAGTCAGTCCCCTACACATATCCCCTGACACTGCTCAAACTTTCCATCTCCTCTTCAAGTAGTACCAATTCACCTATTCAGTTTTACCTGTTCTTTATCAGAACTTGCAACTAGATTTCATTTTTCTCCAAAAAAAAATTTTCACTTCGATAAACATAAGTTTTTTAAGTTTTATTATAATTATATAAAACTTTACTTTAAATTTCAGAATTTTTAGCAGGGAAAAATGCTTCTTATATTGTTGCTGGTGTAGTATTCATGGACTACATTTTCATTTATGTAGTTTGGTTTAGTTTATGTAGTGTAGTTTACACTTGTGGAGTTGCTATATCCAATGTGTCATATTTTGAGTATTTAGTTCATGTTAAGAATTAATGTGAAGACTTCAGAACCTTATGTCTTCTTTGTATTTCAACATTTCTTATATATTTTAAGCCTGAGGAGTAAAAATAATCAAAAACAATAAGGATGTGAGACACAATTAAGGATAAAATATTTACAATTGCTATTGAACTTGGGATGAAAGATACACATTTACTTTATATAAATCCACTGAATCTTTCCCGTGATTCAAGCTGAAGTCCTCATTGGAAAGACAAAGATATGAGGAGAATTAAGGTGGTATGAAAGCACAAGAGGGACAAAGAGAATTCTTTGCTGCCAATCTAAGCTACACTTCTTTGTTAACTGGTCTGGCTGGGATGGAGATAATTTTTCACACAGAAGCCCTCACAGGTCTGTGCTTTGCACTGGTAGCTAGAAACGGACTGATAACACACCAGTGTTTTGGCTACTGCAGAGCAGTGCTGGCACAGCCTCAAGGCTGTCTTTCCAATATTCCCATCCCCATATGCCAGTAGGGTTTGGTTGTTTTGTTTTTTGTTTGAGGCTTTTCTTTTGTTTTTAATTAAACTTTTTTTTTTTCTTTGCCACATGTTTTTTTCATCTTGCTTTCTTTCCCGTTCTGCTGACAAGGGTGAGTGAGAGCAGTTTGGTGGGCACCTGGTGGCCAAACAAAGTCAAAACTCCAAAACTGGGCATTTTAAAAGCATAACAAAAGTTTTAGTCTAGAAACAAAGTAAATAAAGTATAATAATGCTTCTAAAGAATCAGTTGCAGAACAGCTTTATTCTGAATAAATACTAAGTTATTTTTAAATAAAACTCTTTAAATTTGAAATATACATCTTTTTCTTTTATCTTGTATAGTAGAAAACAAAAAGCCTCTGTGAACAACAACCAGATTTATAATTCTTCTTTTAGTGCTCTGATTTTACTTTTTTTTTTCTGCATGCATAAATACAATGTCTAACCATTCAGGTGAGGAAGTCCTTTTTCTCAAATTATTTTTAAAATAGCTTGTCTTCTTTGACATATGGTGTTTATACAATACCTTTTCTCAATAGAACACATAAACAAGTTTTTGAAAACAGAAATAAAATCACAGAAAATATGTAAGGTAACCCAGCAAGTTGATTCTTATTCAAGTTGTACTTTTGGCAATATGTCTTACCTACTTACCTGCAGGGCTCTTTAGTCAGAGGAAAAGTCATCTTTGAAAGGTGATTGATGTGTAGGTTACTAAAATTTTAAGTGTTGTTGTATAGCTGTGTCATTAACTTCTACTGGCTGCCGTTCTTCATTGTTCAATATTCTCCTGCTCAAAATACAGTGGAAGATGTCCACCTTTTAAATACATGATGGATGTTCCATAAATATGTTAGCATGGATGAATCAACAGCTGTTAGGCAAAAAAAATGAGATAAATATTTATTTCATACACCAGGCAGTTGTCAAGCAATATTAATATCCTTTAGTCAATAGAAGAGTGCAAAACAGCTGCTGAAAGGACTATGATAAACAGATGGCAGGAGCAATTGAGTCAAGCTGGTATTGACATAACCCCCTTTATATAATTTTGCAAGTCGCATTCCTTGGGAAGGACTTGTACTGGAAAATAAGTTTAAATTGAAGTTTCTCCTTAAAAACAGTAGCATGTGAAAGCCTACAGTAAATGTCCCTACATTTTTTAGTTGGATGCACTGCATGAAAAAAATTAATGGACCAATAATTGTATCAGGCAGGAAGTCACTGAAAATTAATTCATTACATATGCTGCTAAGCTACATAAGGCTCCTGAGGGCCTATGGATTTGGAGTACAATAATGTATCATTTTTTACTTTAAAAAAAATATTTTTATCTGGTCTGGTTTTGGTTTTTTTCTACAAAGTGTAAATTCTTGTATTTCCATGGCACTGTTAAAATCTGTGTTTTAGACTAAGAACTGGTCCTCTCCTAAACTCTGGGGGCTTTAAATTCATATGTCTTAGAGAGGATCTTATTAGCATGCAACATTTGTTGCTCAAGGCTCATTGACCATCTTTCCTTTTCCATAAAAATATAATGCCAGATTCTACAGCAATTTTCATTTACTCCCCAGGTAAACTTTTGAATGATCTCTGTAAAACCAATTTGAATAACATCTGTTTCTCCTCCCAGTTTGGGTAGATGCTGACTGAAATACTGAAAAAATTTAATGCAGCACGCTGAACTACATTTCTAGAACAGTTGTTTCTTTTAACTGGAATCAACAATCACGTTTTTCAGACTGAAGGAAGACATATAGATTTTACAGTTTATATTCCAATAAAATATAAATTAGTGATGACAATCCTTGTGAAAAAAAAAAAAGTGTGATATATATTCCAACAATAGCAAATGAATATACTTTAAATTAAATACCTGGCAGTATCCTTAGGTCAGGACTTGATTACTTTCATTTCCAAAAATTAAATAAGATGCTTAAAAGAAAGGGACTTCTGTACTTCAACATGATCATGCATTACTTCCTTGAAAACATCTAGGCGTCATGCTAAGTTTTTATCAGATAGTTTAATTATATTTTAGGCTTTTTTATTACAACTTTATATTTTATTGACTAGTTGCATTAAAAAAAAAAAAAAGACTAATTTAAATATAATTTATTTAATACAATAAGTTTCCATTACCCAATTTATAATTTGAATCCTGGAATTTAAAATAATCCAACTAATTGGATATTCATATGTATGGAAGATATGTAAAATAAGGTCATAGGGCTGAGATTCTTAACAATTATTATTTTACTCTCCCAGTAGCACAGCAAATATCAGCAAAGCTGTCCAGCAATTACAGACAGATGTGAGAATCTATTCAGGGGACATTAGTGGCAGTCCATTTCTGTAACCATGTGCATACAATAGTGTTTTAAGTATCCTAGGATATATGAGAATCTTTCACAGGATTTTAATACATTATTTGAGCCTGTGCTCTTCTGTATCAGCAATCTATCACAAGAAGGATGATCCTTACTTCTCTGAGCTGCCCTTGGATTCCTCTGTTCTGGAACTGAGTTCCACTTTAAAGACTTGTATAAACTCTGGAAACAAAATATCTCCATATATTTACACAAAGTATCATTGTACAAAAGCAGAAAAGAAAAAAATCCCAACAAAACCAATAAACCCACCCCCGCCCAAAAAACCCCAAACAAGCCAACCAACCAACCACCAAAATCCACAAAAAACCCCAAACAAAACAAAAAAGCCCAAAGCCCCAAAAAACCCCAAACAAAACAATACGAACAAAACAAACCCCACCCAAACTTAACAAAGACAACCAAACACAAAATAAAATTCCCAAACTACAAAGAATACCCACAAAATTAATCAAAATTTGGATTAATATCTTTTAAAATCACAACATAGTTTTGAAACTAGATGCTTACCTCTCACTTAGATCTACCACTAATATTTTCCAATACTACTTAGTGTAGTGTTAGATCAAGAGATGACAGTGTTATCTTGTAGTATGATATGGGATTTGTCTTCTTGAAACAAATCATTGACGTGGAAGCAGCCACATTAGCAGTAGAATTTATGAATGCACTACTTTACCAAAATTCAACTTCCATACCATAGTTCAAGTTTCTTTCATATAATTTATGTAATTATGAACTCTAAAAATGAAAGCATTAAAATTAAAGAGCCACTGTATGGTTAAATAGCTTCTGCACTGTATTTGAAATCGTTAGTGTGATTATCTTAAAGATTTTGGTTCCTCTGACAGCCCTCTATAACTGTACACATTATTATTCATTCTTTAACATCAAATAAAGCAAAAATGTGTCAAGTTCTGAACAGTAATCATGTTTTGTTAAGGCATACATTGTCTCTCAAATAGCTAATATGGATGGAATTATTTTTTTGAATTAATATCCACCAACAGAATTTGGTGTGGGTTGGAAAAGTAATTAATTTTGTCTTGCTTTTCCTAATGAGTCTAACAGGCCAAAGTCTGAGAGTGAAAAAAATTTCTGTAGTAATAACATTATAAGAATCTCAGATTTTAATTTCCTTGGAATTATCACTTAACAATTTTTACCTTTTTTGAGAAGCAAGAGTCACAGATCGATTTTTTTTCATTTCCCTCACCAATTTTATTTAATCATCATATAGGGATGGGTTTTATATCATTTTGCAAATAAACTACTTTCCTCCTCAGATAAGATGTTGAAATATAAGACTGATGTTCAGTTCGAAGAACCCATTTCACATATATAAGTTCAGTACAATATCACTGAAAGCTCATCTCTGTGTTTGGTATTAATAACCTAGTATTGTCATGATTGCAATCTCTCTTAGCTAAAGAAAGCAACAATTTAAAACAACGAATGTTGGTGTTGGTTTTAATTTAGTTTTTTGTGGGTTTTTTTTCTTTTTTTTTGTTTTTTTTTTGTTTGTTTTTTGTGTGGGGGTGTTTGTTTGGTTGTTTGTTTTTTGGTTTTCTTTGGTTAGTTGGTTGGTTGTGTTGTGTTGTGTTTAGTTTGTTTGTTTGTGAGTTTTGGGTGGGTGGGAGGTTGGTTTTTGGTATTTTTTCCTCAATTGCAACAACCAGTACTGGAGTTAAATGTTTATTATATTTTTTAGTGTGGATATAATTCCTCTTTCTCAGCTTTGATAAATCTTTTATTTACTTGTATGATGATGACACTGTCTCCTTGCCATCTGATAAGGGGACTAGCAAGATTAACACTATTCTTCATGCTGAGCTAATAGAAAGTAACAAAGTGACTTCATAAAAACGGAGCTAATACTCAATTTAGATAAGACTTCTGGGGTATTGTTCACTCCTTGACCTCTGCCAAGGAGGAACCTTTTCAGATTAACACAAACAAGAACACACAGCAACACAATGGATATTACTAAACATCTTCCATATATCTGGCCTGTTTTATTCTTTTATCTAATGGCAAGACAGCAGTAAAAATGACAGTACATGTTTATATAGATGTTAGCCATATAAAGTTAATGTCTTCCAAGTTTGTTTTCCTTTTTTTTTAACCACTGACTTTAGAAGATTTCCTTTATTTTAATTTAATTTTTTTATTTTTCTTTATTTTCTTTAGTTATCTTTCTATAGTTAGATTTTAATCTTTTTCTATGAGCATTTGTTCCTAAAGCAGAGGTAGTATCAAATCTCTCTGAATTTATTTCCTATACACGTTTGCACTGTATAAAAAGGGTTATTTCTTCCAGACAGAACAAACAAAGCTATATAGAACTTATTGACTTATAATTTTTATATCTAGAGTAATTGGATAAAAACTATGTGGACTTAAAGTAGTTTTTCTAGAATAGTACTCCTGTTGGAATTGTAAGTAGTCTTGCAATTCCACATGTGGGGGGGTGACATGATGAAAGCATGGTACATATGTGTAAAACCTGAAAGTTGTAAAGAATTTGGAAAAAATCTTACAATTTTTAAGCCATTAACCATCTATGAAACAGTGAAGTCTGTATATTGAGTTTTTTCTGATCTTTCCCAAATCTTATCAAACTCTGTTTTTTGAACATATTAATTGATCAACTTAGCTAAGAAACTTGCTGAAAGGGAAGCTTAATTCAGAAAAGCTTAAGCTGTTTAAGAATCCACATTTCTGTTTTTTTCCTGGAGTGTGACTCTTACCCAATTTTGTAAACACAACTTCAAACAATCTTGAAAGAGAAAATAATAACTATCCATTCATCAGTGAGTGTATCTGAATTATGTTTTACTCTTACATAGGGACTTCATCAGAATAATTTTTTTACCATGGATGTCATGGCATGTGAACTGACTGTAGTAACATTGCAGGAGCAGGCTTTAGCCTCTGGGTATTATTAGTCAGTTGAGCCCTCCACCAAAATTTTACTGTATATCACCTGACAAGCACTAATCTCTTAGCTTATATGGTCTGTTTTTCTTATCTCTAATAAAATCTATTGAATAAAAAAAATCAGAGAACTTCTATTTTTATGATGTAGATGAAGTACTGCACCACAACTCACAATAAAAACCAAAATACAGCTCCTCTTGAATATGCAATATAACTCACTAAAAAATTCAGAGACAGAAATAAATGTGAAATACCTACAAAGAACACGATGAAGATTATAAAGTGAAACTGGAAAAATCTGCATTCTGCTACATATACATGATATATACATATACACATACCAACATTTTGTGTAAACATATATGTGGAGGAGGGAGGTCCAGTCCTCTGACAGGCATCCTCCCCAGAGATCAAGCCCCTAAGAGAAGATAAAACTGCCTAGTCACTGTGACTAAGCTGTGGACCCCTTCCTGCTTCAGGACCTCCCTGTTAACTATCCCCTTATCCCCTCTCAGACCATTGGTCCCCTTCCTCATTCTCCCCTTCCCTATAAAAACCCCAGCTTTTTCCCAGATCATGGTTGGACCATCACTGTCCCCCTTCGCTGAAGCCTGCATTAAAGACCTTCTGAGGAACGCTGTATGATCTTCCCGTCTCTTATCTGTGTGGGCAGGGGAACCCCTGAACGGAGCTGGCTGGGCTGAACAGAGCTGATCACTGAGCAGAAATCGCTGCTCAAAGAGCTGATCACCCTAAAGCCTCTGCCCGTGCTCCAAGGGTTACCCCTGGCTGGAGGCTGCCTGCAGAACCCTGGACGGTGGCTCTGTCCACTGGGACAGCCTGACTGTCTGGGCTTGTTGCTGGTAGAAGCTGAGGGTCGGACAGGCCCCCAGGACCCAGCCAGCAACACATACACAACACAAGGACAGCATATTTCAAATACAGCATCCAGCTAAGGAGACACCGACTGCCATAGAAAACTGTCTTGTTTTGAAGGACAGGTGTCTGCTAAGGAAGACAGAAGCCTCCCTTGGAATGGAATATGTAAAGCCCTTCCCTCCAAATTACTATAATTATGAAAATAAGGGGCTGTCAGGTGACGATATGGGGATAGGAATGTCAGTTCTTTACTAATGTGTGCAATAAAGCAGACAAACAGCAGCTCTGGCACTCACACCAAACAGAGCAGGCCCCGGTGACCCCTCCGGGCCGCTCTCCCCTCACTGCAGCTCTGGCACGGCCGCCAGGGGGCGCTGCTGCTCCCGCCGGGCGGGGCGGGGATTCCGCCAGGCCGGCAGGGGGCGCTGTGGCGCGGGCTGGGNATATATATATATAAAATTAGTGAATGGCACAGTGAGCAAAATCCCACTTCAATAAGTGGTTCTAAAGCAAGTCTGCATAGATGCCTCTTTACAGATGCCTTCTAACCTCTTGCCCCAGTACTAGCCCTGTGAGTGGTCACACCTCAGCCCACCCTTGAGTTCTGCTCCCAGCCCTCCCAGTTCTGCTGCCCAGGTGTGGACCCAGGCATCTTGCTGGTATTCCTGGATTGCTGCAAGACAGTAGGGAGACATGTATTCGGCAGTCTTGCTCCTGGACTGTTGAATCCCTTCTAATACATTCTTGCCCTCTATACCAAATCATTTCTCAGTCACAAATTTACTACTGATGACCAGTTAGAATTGGCATTTCCCCTTTCTACTTTTATACTTGTGTAGCTTTGTAGATAACTGCTTTTTTATTGTAGTTGAGAAGTCTGATTTTATGACTCAAATGTTAAAACAGAATTTGTACCCAACTTACGTATAATACTATGTTTGAAGTTGTAGAATGTAGACAGAGGAATGTGAACACAGAGGCCCAGTCTACTATATTTTCAAAGGATATTAAAAATGAAGAATAATGCCTGGCCTAGATTTTTTTAGGACTTGCAAATTACTTCATTTACTCTAGAAATATTTACACTTTTATGCAGAATTTTTAATTTTTTTTTTATGTGCGGTGGAGTTGTTTTAAAATTGACTTAAGTTTAGGTCTTTTTTTTACAATGGTGTAGTTTGCTGTAATATGAAATAATGTTATATGATCAGTCAAAACAAAGTTTTTCAGAACCAGACTGCAAGAGAGTTTATTTCATAAACTCCCTCAATTCCCTTTTGCAGGCATCAGAAATTCAGATACTTGGTTGTTTAATTTACCATGGCCTCATTTGTTTCCCTGGTAAGTTTTCCAAGAGTTGGAATTATCTCTATTTCTGACGTGTGATTTGGCTACCATGATAGGCCTTGGCCACTCTGCTCATTATTGTTTCTTACTATTAGAGAGAAATGTGCAGTTTTCGTAGGGATATGAGTAGATGGAGCCTTCAAACTTTAAAGCAATATTTGAAGCAACACCTCATAACAAAAGAAGAGCCTAATAGTCACTAAACCTGTGTACTGCTGATAGCCCACCTGTGAAACATCATCTGTGGTTTAGCAGATGGGTTTACTCACAATGTAGCAGATGGGTTGGTTGTGGATGTCAGCACTGCATGCACAGTGTTGCTACCTTGTGTGGCTTGTATGCTGGCTTTTGATATTGTACACTCTCTGTGTAACTCCAGTATTCAAACAGTTGCACAAAATGAAGTCCTTCCAATGACTTTTTAAAGAATTAATCTTTGTAATTGTGGAAGAGAACAAAATAATGAATTAACTAAGGCATGAAATAACTGTGTGGGTCTAAAGGATTTTAAGTCTGAGTCCCATTCTGGGCTCCCAGTCTGTCCTTGCCTAAGGAGAGATTACAGCAGGAACCTAGCTGGTATCAGCACCTGTAAAAGAGCAAGAATATATGTCACCCTGAGAATCAGGCCCTTGATACAGTTTTTCTACAAGTTCCAGCCACTTTCCCAGGAAGGTAACAATAAACATAGGTGTTTATACATTCCATTAAAGATACGCCTTTTGATGGACATCTCTCACAGCCAGTGCAGTTGGGAAGGTGTTAACCTGACTATCCAATCCCTGGTCATGGTCAGAAACCTATAAATGCTGAAAGAAAAAATAAAGTTTGCTCCTTCTTTCACCACACCTTGAACTGGATCCGTGTGACTCATTTCGTGTCCAACAGTGATAAATATATTGCCTGATTTTTCCCTTGATTTGAATCTCACAATGATTGTGAATCTTAGCTATTTTTTAGTTTTGATTTGAGAGTTGGTTTTATTGTTGGGAAACTTCAGGTAAAATTGATTATATTCTCAGGTAGCTCAAAATCTGGGGAAAAGAAAACCACAGAAGCAGCAAATCACTAAGAAAGAACTTATCATTTAATTGTCAGGAGTTAAAAATTTTATACATAACATCAGTATCTTTAGGGTGGCAAGTTATCACTTGTAACTGTACTCACAGATCTATATGTAAAGAATTACTTCACAAACCAGTGGAGTTCTTTCTTATGATTTTTATAATCATGATTTTAAAATTTCTTTTAATGAAGTTGCTAACATACATTAGCTTTTTTTTTAATGTGCTTCACTCTGCTGAGCTCTCTTTGACCTTTATTTTGTGCTAATTTTTAACATGGTTTTCCTTTGATGTTTATGTGTTTATATTCACTTTAGTGAATTTAACACAGGACACAAGTGATTGAATTGCAGATACTGATGCAGACCCTGCCTAAGGATGATCAGAAAAATATCTATTGTTAACCTTCAGGGTAAGTTTCAGAGTTAGTTCTTGAATGCATTTACAGTTAAAATACAAATGCCAAACATCCTGCACAAACATTTTCTTTGTATTTAGGTGTGTCATTCGCAGCTTCTATATGTTGAGCTCGCATCTGTAAGAAGGGATGCCTTTCCAAATAACAGAAAGCTTGACTTTTTCTGTCACTGGTAGAAGTTTTAATTATTTTTTGCAACACCACTGAACAAAGTGAAAACACTGTCTTATGTGAAGAGGAGAAAAAACAGCCATGACCTCCTTTAGATTTGTCCCTGATAGTGCTGTATTCAATCATGCCCCTCAGAACAGCTGCTTCCCTTGCCACTCCACCTGCCCCCACTGTAAGTTAAAATTATTGATCTAAGAGGAAGAAATACTTGTTTTGATATTATAATTAGGCACTATCTTGAAGAGAAAATGGATAGATAATACCTTAATAATTAGAGCAGGAGCATTCTGTGTAATGACAAGATGAGTTTTACTTTAATTGTAGGTAAATTCATTAAGCAGTAATGAAATGCAGTGACTAGTAGTTTCTAGGCACTCTGCTGTGTTATTAGATCACTCAATTTGTTTTCTTTAAAGGTGAATCACATTTCTTTAAGCAGACCAATAAGCTAAGACAGGCAGCTCAGCCTAGTCTTTTTGTCTCCAGAGTGATTTTTACAGCTGTGTATAGAAATGTGAGAAGGCAGTACTAAATAGAAATGTCCTGCAAGGGATTTCCTTTCCATGCAAAGACTTCCTTCATTGAAGAGGGAGAAGAAAGACTTGACAAACTAGGGCCAAAGGAAAAAATGAACTAATACTGTCAAACAATGCATACTCTTTAGAAAAAAAAGAACCTGTAGTTCTTTTATCTACTGTATTTTTTAGATTTCAGTATTTGCCAAGAGATTAAGATAGCATCTTCAGCCTAAAGTGATCCTTTTATTTATAGTTTGAGTAAGCATAACAGTAGATATCTGTTATGCAGTAGATACAATTTTTCACTAGTAAAAAATTAACATAATGATAAGGAATGTGATAAGCTAACAAAGCACGCTGGTTTTACAACCATGAAGGCAAATTTTCTTCAAAATAATCTTTATTATTAAAAAAAGAGTTATTGAACTGCAAGATTTATTTTGCAAGTAAAATGAAAATTAAATTATATCTCAAAGGCCTTATTCATTCTTTAAAACCAATTTTTAAAATGTGGTATTTTTGCAATGTTATTTCAACACAGTATTTCCGTTCTGCTGAAATATATGGGAATGTAGTGAAGATCTTTTTCCTGTCTAATATTTCTATTTCTTCTTGAAAGATCTTGTCATGATTTTGCCATATTCTCCTTCAGATGTAGGTTAAAAGGGAGTATCCTTGTTCATTTCCTGTGTTTTTCTTTATTTCACATAGGCAGCTTAAATAGCTTTACTTGCATTGTACTTGTATAACTATGATAGCATTAGCAGTCAAAATAAAGCTGGAACTCCGAAGGTTGACTGTTCAAATCTTCCTCATTGGCCCTCAATTATAGTGCACTTGCAAACTTTAAATAAACACTAGGTATAAGATGTTTGTTTTCACTAAAAGGCAAATTCTTTAAAATTTAGTTTATCTGTTTTATTTGAGATTTGGAGTTTATTTTTAAAGCCTGGTTTCCTCAATATATTTTGCTGCTTTATGTTGTGTCATTACTTCAATGGAACGATGAATTAAGATGAATGTCTTATCATTCATCTGAAAGCAAGCAATCAATAACACTGGATTTTCTTTTCTGTCCCACTACTGTATTTTTCCTTGTGAATGTGTAAGAAAAAAATGTGAAAATGATCCTTGAAAAAGGAGTTTTTTACCTTTCTACTCTTAATCCAGAGTGAAAAAAAATCTGGATTTATTTTTGTCTTGTTTTGAAGGACAGGTGTCTGCTGAGAAAGGCAGAAGCCTCCCTTGGAATGGAAAATGTAAACCCCTTCCCTCCAAATTACTATAATTAAGAAATTAAGGGGCTCTCAGGCAAAGCTATGGTGGTAGGAATGTCAGTTCTTTACTAATGTGTGCAATAAAGCAGACAAACAGCAGCTCTGGCACTCACACCAAACAGAGCAGGCCCCAGTGACCCCTCCGGGCCGCTCTCCCCTCACTGCAGCTCCGGCACGGCCGCCAGGGGGCGCTGCTGCTCCCGCCGGGCGGGGCGGGGATTCCGCCGGGCCGGCAGGGGGCGCTGTGGCACGGGCTGGACCCACACGCGGTGATGGCGGCTCGGCCCGGACGGGAAGGGACGGGAGAGAGGCTTCGCTTCACAAACCCCGCTGGGATGGCCGGTCCTGGTGTCCCCGCAGGACTCTAGGGAGCAGCAAGACAGGCTGGTGGGAATGAGCAGAATAATCCCGAGGTGGTAGATGAGATGTATCAGAAGCTCCAGAGCTTTGTAGCTACTGGAGCCGCAGGATGTCTCGTCTGGCAGGAGGTGCGGGCCTACAGTGCAATAAAAGCTCGGAGCAGCGCCGAAGAAGCGGTGGGAGTGGGACAGCAGCAACCTGTCTACCAGCAGGGCAGGGAGAGCTCAAGATCCTGGGCACCCAAGCAGACCAGACAGGGATAAATCCCTCTTTTAGTGAGGTAGCTGTTAATAAGGTCCCAGTCTAAAGGCCACAGAAAGGAAGAGGCAGTACAGGACTGGGCTCTGCTGATGACTGTGAATTCTCACCACGGTGAGCAGCAATTTGCCTGACGTCCTCCTATGCCCAGAGTGAGAGGAGACTAGCCTCTGGCCCCTGCCCATTCCTCACAGTGTGTCTCCCTCTTGGAGAGGAATTCCCAAAAAGAGAAGTGTATCCAGATGCCGTCCTCCCTCCTGAACTTGGCTACCTCTTTGTTTTCTTAAGTACCCGTAAGTACCCAGTGGTTAGTATTTCTCAGCAATTTATGGAAAAAATTCTATAGATAAGAAGGAACAAAAGACAAGAAACTTAACCCCCAAGAAAAACACATCAGAAAAACATGAAAGAAATGGTTAAAAGTTCCAGAACTGCTGGAAAAGCAACTCAAATCACACTAGTTACCAAACCAATATAATAAGTTACCTGTGTTAAATAAATGTGACTAGTGAGATGTATTTATCCACATCCTAAAATCCTTAGGTTTGCCTTGAATAAAATTAATATTACTTGTATTAAACCTAGAAATTAAACTTCTACTTTCTGGTTCTTTCTCCCTCCACTCCCCTAGGATGTGCCCTGTTTAGTTTGAATTATACTGTTTAATCTGCATACCCATCAGGCTGCCTGCATAACCCAAATGCACTGGCACCTTTTGGAGGCTGTAAGCAAAAGGAAAGAACAGCTGCTAACAGGTCTCTGCGAGGTAATAAATCAGCAACAGGTGCTCTAGGCATTCAGGAAGACTGGAGATCAGGTTGCAAATGAAATACATTTAGGAGGAAAATAGAAGAAATAAAGGAAGCTGTTTGTAAGACAACATGAAGAAACTCTGATTTTGGCTCCTCTGAAACTGAAGTTGGCAAAGGGATGAAAATCAACATAGCTAATGAGTAAAGCTGTAGGGAGCCTGGCTAGAAAAGAAAAAAAGACTGAACAACAAACAAGAAATGAATACATTTACCCTCTTTATTCATCAGAATAATAAAATAATTCAATTGCCCATGAAAATAGGTAAACAACCTTTGCATTTTCCTGCTAAGGGCCAAAGAAAATGATGCTGAAACTAAACGTAGTTTGTGCACTGACATTTCTAATAGGTTTCAGAAAATTCATATTATTTGGCTGGCAGTGTTATAGTAATGATTTTCCTCTTTACCTTCCTTCTCTCCATGCCTAAAATCAAGGGTATTGATAGCTCAAAATGTGTGCCACTGATACATTTCTTCAGATTTTCTTTTCTTTTGGCCTCTTCTGGCAATCCCAATAATGAGGCTGAAATCAAAGGAGAAATGAGACAATGGACCTAACAGATTTTTAAAAAAACATCAGAACTGGAAAATAATTTCTTAAATTAAATACTTTCTTTCAGTTACTTCATCTTTATAATTTTCAGTTTTCATTTTCCCTCTTACATCCTAGAAATAGAAGAAATTCAGAGATATGAATCAATTTTAATTGCTTCTTTACTGTTAGGTGGTTTTCTATTTATAATTATCTCTTGTTTATATTATATCTCTTAGATTTAAAAAAAGTGAAGATGTTGAAAGTAAAAACTAATTGTCTGTTAAAAAAAATAAAAGTAAGAGTTATTATGTGACAGATTGCTCTTATTATTCCTTGTAGCACCTTGGAAACAATTGGAGAGCAAGACAGGACTGTTCTATGTTGCACAAACACACAGAATTAGGTCCCAAATACTGCATAAATGCTGCAAGAAATGAAGAGGCAGAGCATACAGATACAAACCTGATGGAAACGTATAAAGAAATTGGGCATATATTGAATGTCTTGGTATGAGAAGATTAAATAGTCTTTGGTGTATTATACAATAAGTCTGTATAACAGTCCCATCAATTTCAGAGGACTAGGGGCAGTGGCAGTTGTAAATAAACAAAACAAGTAAAACTAGTAGTCCTTTAGGCCTTTTCTCTCTACTTCCCCCAGGACCTGAAAGTACTTTCAATTAGTTATCTGCACACTATAACTATTATTCAACTTTCTCATTTAGGAGTCATGACCAGGCCTTACCCCAGCACAAATAATTTTTTGTTTCTGCCAAAGACACCAATAGTTATGACTTACCTTTTTTGTAAATAGTAGTAGTTGTGTTTTTAGCATATATTTCTCCAGTATTTGTGTGTATTTCATATATATATCTATATCTATCTATCTATCTATCTATCTATCTATCTATCTATCTATATACTAGAAGCTAAAGAACTTATTCCTTAAATGTGTAAATCTCTTACTTTGTTTACTTTCATGTGAAAATAATTAATGACTTCCAATGAACAGTAACAAAACAGGATTTTTTTGTGTGTCTATGTTTCACCATCTAGAATTTACCTGGGCAAGACAAAATCATCTTTTAAATTGGGAAATATGGTTTTCATTCACAAAGTAATTTCTTTTTTATAATGTTATGACTTTAGTAATAGTCAGTGCTCTCCAGTGCCCCAGCATAGCAGTAGAAATGCATAAATGAATTAGAGCCCAAGGCAAATCATAAGGTGTTTTACATTGCTCAATAGTTCACTGGCTGGCAGAGCTGGTAAAGCAAAATATTTTAGACTTGGTCTGATATACTTTATTCCACAGAAGCAGAACAGTTAGTCTTGGAAGGGACCTTAAGAATAACTGACCATCGGGATTGAACAATAGTAGAAGGGACAGTCTAGTAGAAGGGGCATCTTTTATTAGACCAGCTTACTCAGAGCCCCATGCAGCTTGGTCTGGCACAGTTCCAGGGACAAGGTATCCTCAGCTTCTCTGGGCAATTTCCAGTGCCTCACAGGAAATGACAGTTACCCTGGCAGTAGCATATTTCTTCCTCAGGCTGTGATTTTCCCTTGATCTGATCCAAATTCTTCTTCTAATTGTGGCAGATCTTGGAGCAAGCCTTGAAAGAATTACTCTGCTGCCAATTTAGTACCAAGTTCTCAGTGATGTGTGGTTGAAAGATAGATAGTGTTGGAGTTGCCTTCTGATTTCAAGTTTTAAGTACTTTGGGAACAGAAATGCTTGAAATCTTCACCAAAAAAAAAAAAAAAAATGTGTGTGTTTTATCAGGTATCATAATTTCCTGAAAAATGGCTGACCAAAAACTATTAAAAATCTAATAAAAATCCCAGATACTGTTATGCTTCCTTAATATTGCAGCTGTGACATAATTTTCTTACTCTTTTTGAAATTCTTTTGTAAGTACAAAATATATTCTACTGTGTACACAGTAGCGATACCCTTTTGGTAAACCAAGAAACTAAGATAATTTTTGTTTTGTTTTGCTTTGGGGTTTTTGTGGAATTTTTTTACTAGAGAAATTTATTGTACTTTCTTAACAGATTTAAAATCCATATTTTAATTTTTACAAGGAGAGTTAAGAAAAAATAGACTTAATAGTAGGGTATAGCTGAATACTTTTCCACACCTTTACATGCATTTAGCAGCTTTTCACCCCCTCTCTTTTCCAGTAGCAACAATATCTGATAAAAAGAAATTGCCCTATAAAATTTCTTGCTATGGGGTCTTGACGTGTTGCTTTTAATTAGTAGTTTGTTTATATATTAAAAGATAATAATAAGAAAAGATGCAGTTGAATGTGATTAAAGAAATTTGAAATAAAATTCTGAAGAGAAATATGTTGGGACTTTCATTGTTTTATGGTTTTTTTAACAGTAATATTTTAAAATAGTATACAGATGGAATAAAACCCTATGTACACCAGATTAGAATATGGTGACCTAAAATTTGAGATGTTTAGTAAACATGATACAGCTTGAAGTCCTGACCCTGAGAGTGCTGGAAATGTAATAGATATTCCTAAAGAAACTTCCCAAAGGAGATGTTGCTTCTTGTCTCTACCTCTTAGTAATGACTTATGCCCTATAACTCATGTTCTAATTAGCCTTATAAATGTTTAATTTTTCTTCTGCTGTTGTGAAAAGCTGAGATTGTTCTGCTGGAGTACTTGGAATTGCATGATGCCAATAATGAACTGAGACTACAATCTTTTTTGTACTTCACCTCTGCTTTTACTTTCCAATAAGCCCTTCTCAAATACAAAATAGGTTTGTGCATTTCATTCTAGGGCAAAACAGGAGTAAGTGTCTTTAATGGCATAATTTCTAATTTCTACCCAGTATGCATTTCACACTTCATATTGAGACAGTATCCTGGTTTAGTAATTTGACCTTCAAAGCAAAAAACACGTTTTGCACAGTTTGAGGCTTGTTAGCCCAACAAGCATGATAAGCAGCTAAAAAAAATCATGTCTTCATCTTTCACTCTGCAGTGACTTACATGTCTTGACCAATAAGTCTTTACCTTGAAAAAGTTCTGTAATTGGCTTGAAAGGGGTTTTTTTGTGCCTTTTGTGACAAGACATATAAGTGCTACGACCAAAGTTTTCATGATGTATAATGGAATAATATAATGCAGAGAGGTTTCTTTAGACTTTAAATGAAGTATCAAGGGATATTTACTGGGAAGGAAGATTACTTGTGAAAGAGAAGTTAATGGAGTTAGTAAACAAAATCAACATCCTTTTTTCTTCTGCAAATTTATATTGGCTACAAGACACAGCAGTGGATTTTATAAGTAAATTATTTGTAGTATCCCACTGTCACTCAGTAGCTGGAAAATTCTTTAACTTCAGGAAACTGTATTTGAAAAGTGCATTTATGGCTTTTGAAATTATGGCTTTAATTATTGATCAGACACTTCAGCATGGAATCCATAAATGCAACACATTAATTACTCTAGGAGTTAGCTGTGAAGTTGAAAAAAAAAGCTGAATAGATGGTGCCTGCCTAATTATTTTAAACACTTAAGTAGTCTTATGTTGGTCACCAAAGGAAAAGCATGTTGATCATTCCATAAAATGTAGCATACACTAGCTTTTATGTGTTTAATTCAAACTAGTTCATATAATCCCATCTGTAATAGATCTTGATACTTTTTATGGGCAAAAAAACCCATAATTTCCTAGGCATAGGATACAACTCAAGTTCGTAATCTTTTTTTTTTTTTTTTGATAGAAAGCATATCTCTTATTTAATGTTACATAAAGTATTTATGTATTAAATATTCACCCTTTTCTAGGATAACCACCTGCTGAAACCCTAAAGACCTGTTAGTAGGGTAAGTCTCATAAAAGTTGGACAGTATGTTAATATATTCTTCCTCTGTATGCTCCTGTTTAATAATGCATGCCATCTCATCCTGGTGCTTAGTTTATTCCCTTCTCAACTTAACATTTGTTTATAAATATTATAACAGAAGTTCTTCAATTGTTAATCCATTTTGCACAGCAACAACTTGAGAGACCCCTCATTTTACTGTGTGCCAGAAAGCATGTGCCAGAAAGCTGTTCTATGAGATTAAATATACAAATAATTTAAGGCTTCTGTAATGATGCAGAAAGTAAAATAATCCTGTTCTTCTAGACTTTTAATTTTTGTAACTGTTTGTCTTTGAATAAAATTTATCTGAATTTTCTCAGAAAATGGCAATATCTCCTTATACCAAAAGTAAGTAAATGAGATTTTACATTTCCATTGTCTTGAACTGGTCTTGAGTTCATCACATTATTTTTTTATTTTCTTTTTCCTTTTACCCTCCTATGTTGAGAATATTTTGATGAATAATTCATGGTGATGTATGTGTATGTATAAAATGTATTAAAAGCAAGTTGTTGGAATGGAATCATGAGGCTGATAATTACTAAATGCAATACTTTTGCTGATTAAATCTTGTTGATTATTTCTGGTATACTTCAGCAGTCAGAAATTTTTGTCAATTCAGTATTTCTACTTTAAGAGTTGGGTTAGCATGTCAGTCTCAGCTGTACTATCAGAGTATGAGCTGAAGAAGATTAACTAAAATTTGGAGACTAGGATTTCTTGATTTGAAATGCCTAGACTCAAGTCAGAAGTCAGAAATCATCCTGTTAGCCCACAGGTTTGTCATGCAGTGTGTGCAAAATGACATTCAGAAAATACAGTCTCTTGTACAGAATCGTTCTTAAATCCATACATATACCAGACTCTCTAGAAGAGGTAATAGTTGAGGGGCAAATAAGAATGCTACAGAGGAGCTATCCAGATGCTAGGCTAATGCTCCTCCTGTGACAAATATCTCACAATATCATCTAAATATTATTATGAAAAGAAAAAAGGCATTTGTTGCTGGTGTTATTTGGATATTTTGGTAATTCACTTAGGCTTAAGGGATGGAATGATTATTTCTTGATTCCTCTATCAAGAAAGAATACAAACTATATTCTAGGACAGCTGCCCTACTTTTAAGATTAATCCAGACCAAAATTTGAATTTAAGAATCTTTTGAAGTTCTAACAAGTGTGGACTTCAAGGGAAGCATATTGATATAGCCACTTTTCAAGTTTGTCTTGTTCCTTTTATGTTATCCAACTTATACTGAGGGATATACTAGGAAGATCCAAAAAGGTTGTGAGTTGTTTATTCCCTTTTTCCCTGTCCATGAAGAAATTTCTACTGCTGGAAACTACAATATAAAGTCTGACAGTGGAATGAATCATTTTCAATAGCCTTATGCCTTCATAACATGTTGGGTTTTTTTTTGTTCAGACCTCTTTAATACTGCTCATCCAATTTAAAACAAATGTAATTTTACCCAGTAGGCAAAGGCTGTTTACAAAACTCCATTTTACACTTGTTCTTGCAAGACCTATTTTGAATTCAGTTTTCAAACTTTAATATGAAATGAATATTGTTTTAAAAATACAGTAGGGCTCTGTATTTAGGTTACCTACTCTAAATATGGGCTGTAATAAGATGTTACTTCAAATATGTCTAGGTGTCATAGTTGCTTTCAACTACCCATGGCTTTCATATTATCTACAAAAGCAAGTAAATTCTCTTACTTTTCCAGTGAATACTGAAATGTTCCCAGCATTGGGCTTTAAATTGTATATTTTTCCTCTTTTCTTTCTAAGTCATTATATTAGATTCCATTCTGATTTACTATTAATTTATTGCTAGTTACAATACTTTCACTGAAGGAGTACTTAACATACAACTGATGAAGGAAGTTCACTTCGATATATGCTTCAATATTTTTTATTTCAAAGTGTTTTCCTTCCTAATAATATCAAGTGTCAACAATATTTAGGACTTTCCTGAAGAGGGTTGAATTAAAAAAAAAAAAGTTTTCCCTAAAAATTGAATGTTTACTTTCAGTTTCTTTTGTGTATCTGTAATGCCTTCATACCTCTACATAGGCTGAAGAAAGTAGATTAAAAAAAGCATTTAATCACTGGCTTTTGGCAGAAGAACCTTGTCATAGATTACCAGGGTTTGGTTTGGCTGGGTTAGCTTTTGGATTTTGTTTGTTTCTGGTTTGGCTTTCATTTTTGTCTTAGTAATTCGGTTATCAAATATCTTAAAATGAAATTAATTTATATTTTGTGTTTTGCATTTATCAAAAGTTTGTGTTCAAGATAACAAAAAACATTGAACAAAAACTCCAAAAAACCAAAAAAACAAAAAAGAAAACAAGGAACCCAAAACACCCAAAACCCAAAACACCTTAAAATAAGTGGTTTAGAGCCAGAAATTTGTCTTAATTATCCTTATAAAGCAGTTTTAAAGACAAGAGTGGCTGGTTTCCAATTGATTAGCTGTACTTCTGGGATTGCCCCTGCTGTTCAAAATGACTCTTGCTTTAGGGTGACATAGATCACTGAAATATGCTTCCTCGTGATGCTAGCAAGCCACAAAATCACTAATTAAAACTGAAAATCTATTTTTGTGTGCACAGTAACGTAAAGTTTCTTAGCATCCCTTGCAGGCTTCAAGAACACTTGGAACATTCTTTCATTTGCATTTTTATAGCCCACAGTATATTTAGTGCAGTTTTTTTTTTTTTTCCTTTTTACCTTTTTAACATATGATACAATCCACAGATTTAGTAAAAAAGTTTTACTTCTATTGTGATCTAAGTGATGTTTGATAACCTGTATATCTCTAAAAATGTTAAGACTGCATAGTAGGTGACAATTGACTTAATCACTCTTCAAGAAGGAGCATATTTAACAGGAGGTGAAGTGAAATGAAACCTCAGCCAAATTTCTCTGTATAATTCTTCCCCAGACTGGTTGAATAAGCTGACATTCTTCCCTGGGAAAGCTATGACTTAACAGAAACTGCAGAGAGACCTCAGTGCCTCAAGCACAGAGACTTGGCACTTAGTTGAGGAAGTGGGGTGATGCTGTTACTAAGGCAACTGGCCCTGCTATACACAGAGAGCTCCATGATTTGTATTTGTGACAGGAAAAGTTGTGAGATGCTTCAGAAATGCTTTTTAAAATTTCCCATCACTTTAGAATGGACAAGCAAGTTATGGAACCCACTTCTGTAATGTCATTTGATTTGCTAGTACTGTTTGTTTTCCAACAGATCCATGGTCATTAAGATAATTAACTTGCAAAACATTTACAGAAGCATGTGGCAAGATGACCTGCAAGCATGTAAATGATCAGCAGTGTCAAATCAAACATAAAGGGCTGATCAGTATACTCCTGCTTGTTACATAAATACATTTAATGAAACTCTAGAAATATGCTCTGTAATGAGAATGCTAATGCTCCCCTGAGATGGAAAAAATCAGCTGGTATTCCACTATGCACATACCACTAAAATCTCACCAAATTTTTTTAAAAAAATAAATAAAATTGAAAACAAATTTGGCATACAACTTTTTTTTAACATGCACACATGTCCATGCTCAGAATAGAGATAGTCAGTATTTCACACTTATGAATCATTGTTTTGTGTTACTTTTTAAAGGCACACTGATGATCATAGTAAGCAAAAATTTACCAGTACATTATCATTTAACACTGAGATCCAGTAGTTATACAAAAAAAGTAAGTAAACATACAGTAAGGAAAAAGGAAAGGATATCAACTGTGGGTTAGAGAAGCTGGATTTTTTCTTGAGTGCAAGACATTTTACACGAAGTGGTAAATTCTAAAGCTATGTCTAAAGTGATTCACAGATCCGTGTTAGTTATGTCTTACTTGAATAGAAGAAATTGGATAGAAGAGTTGGTTATCTATAATAGTGAATGTTAATGGCAGTTCCTCCTATATTTTAGTCAATAGATGTTTACAATTTATGATTGAAGTCTATTTTTAAAATATTCTTAGTTTAAAGATTTATAACTTGTGTTGAAAATCTAAAGTACTCACATTTGGTGTTGTGGCAGATGCAAAGCAGGGTTTTCAGTGAGAGAAAATAGCAACATTTTAAGCACCAGCCTCTTTCAACAGTAAATCTAATTAAGTTTATTGATGGTTCTCACTATGTGTCCTTTGACTGGTTTTCAGTCATGTTTGCAGTGTTTGTAAATGCACTAAAGAATTTAATAGATCTAAAATGGGAATTTATTCCATGCTAAATACTCTCCTACCTCAGCTCAAACCATCTACATTTGTCCTGAGAAGAAATGAGAAAGGTTGTGGGAAGAGGTAACCTTTCTAATTGAAGCTCATCTGTTAGCTCTACACAGTCTGATTGAAATGTATCTCTTCTGGTTTTATTGTGAAGCATAAAAAATCAGAAGAATGGCATCACGTACTGGCTTTTGACATTTACGGTTTTCTTAATTGCATATTTGCTAATGTAGTCTACATATTCACAAAATCTTTTTCATAATCATTTGAAAAGTTCTAGATTTGAAAAAAAACTGAAAGTTTTTTAATAGATATAATTATCATCATATCTTCTTATTAATCATTAACAAAACAGAACCTGTATAGGATGATATGTCACAGGATATTCTATTGTAATTTATTCAATGTTCCTTTCCTTTTCTTCTTTCTTTTTTTGTTTTATATTAGTCAGTGGGATGGGTCAAGAGATGGGTTATGCCTACGAACTCCTCCTCTGCCATTTCCTGATTGCATTCGTTTTAATCCTGTGAACAGAATGTCCAGGCTGAACAAATCCCCACTCTTGATAATGCATCAAGAAATTGACAAAGACGCAGGTTGTCAAAGACATATGACTTGGGTAAGGCTAGCATTTCATTATATCATATACAACTGAAATCTTTATCAAGCAATAAGGTTTTAATGATGTCCAGAGCCATTAGTAAAACCAACAAACAGAAAATGACAGAATTATCTAACTTGGCATTAGGTGGCACTTGCTTTTTTTTCTTTTCTTTTTCCCCACAGGCTAGAATCTTTGTGAATTCCACAAGGTTCAAACTTAGTCTTGCATATGAAAGGTTGTAGTTGCCGAGGAACTACATCTGTCTACACAATAGAGGTGAGTACTACACAATAAAGAGTTTTAGATGTGATGAAGAGTGACAGAACAGGTAAGTTTGGAAGGGGTCCAACCTCCCTGCTCAAGAAGGGTCATCCTTGAGCTTGTGGCACAGGATTATGTCCAGTCAGTTCTTGAATATCTCCAGTGAAATAAAGTCCACAGCCTCTCTGGACAGCCTGTTCCAGTCCTTGGTCACCAACACAGTAAAGTTCTTCCTCATGTTCAGGTGAGACTTCCTGTGCCCATTGCCTCTCATCCTATTGCTTGGCACAGCTGAGAAGAGCCTGGATCCATCGTCTTGATGCCCTCCCTTTAGATACTTAAAGAGGTTGATAAGGTTCTGTTATGATCCAGTAATTAAAATTGTTACAGTGATGCCTCTACCTGAATTAAGGTGCTAACAAGACCATGTGCCAAAGTCAGTAGTCTGGGTTTTATTTAACAGTAAATGAGACAGAGAGACACAGAGAGAGAAGGAGAAAGGAACAAAGAAAGAGAGAAAATAGGTGGGGGGAGAGAAAGAGTGTGACAGAGACAGATTAAGTAGAAAATACCAACACTCTGTGGATCCCAATGGCATCTCATTGATCATTTCCATCATCACCATTCTTGATGGTGAGGGTCCCCCAAAAGCATAAAGTTCAATGGATTAATGTATGTTTGGGCCAGATGGGAATGCCCAGGTACCTCCCTGGTGGTGGAAAAGTTTGACACTGTCAATTGCACCAGACTCAGTATCAGCTGCATCACTTTGCATCACATGAAGTTCTCTGGTGCATGGCCTCAGGAATGAGTCTGGGGGACACTTTAGGGTTATTTGATGGATTGTGACACCACTTAGCTACCTCTCATGTGAACATCTCATGGGTGTGGCCTTCCTGGGGTGAGGGGTTTTAGAGCTGAGCCAGTTTGTGTAAGGAAGGATGGGTTTTCACTCTTTCTGACCAGAGGTTATGCCACACACAAAATTCTCCTCCTCTCCTCCTTGGTTGTAGAGGAATGTGTGAAAACCTGGCCTCAGCAGATGATTGTGTGAGCCATGACCTTCCCCACCTGTAACCCAGCTAGGAATGATTTTCTGGACAGCTGTTGGGTTTGGCTTTCTTTGGATGCATTCTTCTCCCTCAGCCCTGTTTGTTTTTTCCTAGACCCTAGATAATTGAACAATAGTGTCACCTTTATCTTATCTCAAGTTCCCTGAGGCAATTTGACTCAGTCCAAGGTTTCTGTCAGGAGACATCTTCTAGGAGGGGTGGGCTTCAGTGATAGCAGCTTCTTTATACATAGTTCTGCCATAATGGACAAAACTCCTTCATAACAATTTTTAAGCTATGAAGCATAAAATTTCAGTCTCTGACAGGTTTCTTGTTAGTTGTTTCTTCTCAAGGCTGAATAGTCCTGGCTCCTTCAGCCTTTTCTCATAAGAGAGATGCTTCCATCCCCTCATCATCTTTGTAGCTCTCCACTGGACTCCCTCCAGGACCTCCATATCTTTCTTGTACTGAGGAGGCCAGAACTGGACACAGCACTCCAGATGTGCCTCTCTAGGGCACAGAATCATCTCCCTTGAGCTGCTATTAATGTTATCCTAGATGGACCCAAAGACACCATTGGCTTTGTTGGCCACCAGAGCATACTGTTGTCATATGGACAGCTTGTTGTCCACCATGATTCCCAGGTCCTTCTCTGCAGAGCTGCTTCCCAGCAGATAAGTCCCCAACCTGTGCAGGTGCCTGGAGTTATTTTTCCCCAGTGCAGGACCCTACACTTACTTTGATGAACTTCGTCAGGTTTCCCTCTGCCCATCTCTCCACCCTATCAAGGTCCTTCTGAATGGCTGCACAGCCCTCTGGAGTATCGGCCACTGCTCCCAGCTTTGTTCAAGTCACTGATAAATAATTTATACAAGAGTAGACCCAGTCCCACTTGGGGGACACCAGTAGTGATAGGCTACCAACTGGAGCCTGTGACACTCGTTACAGTCTTCTAGGATCTGCTGTTCAGACAATTCTTAATCCACTTCACTCTAAGCTCATGCAGTCCACACTTCCTGAGCGTACCTACATTGTGAGAGACAGTGTTGAAAGTCTTGCTGAAGTCAATGTAGACAATATCCAGTGCTCTCCCCTTATCTCTACAGGTATTTGTTCCACAGAAGAACAGATAGAAGGCAATCATGTTGATCCTGTAGTGAATCCATGCTGATTGCTCCTGATTACTTTCTTATCTTCTGTGTAGATAGAGTTGGCCTCTAGGATGAGGCACTACGTCACCTTTCCAGGGACCGAAGTAAGATAGAGTTGGCCAGCATTCCCTTTTTGCCAGTTCTGAAGACTGAAATGCCATTTTTTTTCTTCCAGTCTTCAGGGGCCAATCCTGATTGTTACAGTCTCCAGAAGAAGATTATAAGTCTCCTTGCTATGGTGTCTGCCAACTTTCTCAGCACTTATGGATTAATTCCACCAGGACCCTTGGATTTGTGGATATGAATTTTACCAGGGTGTTTTCTAAACCGGTTCTCCTTGACTGAAGGAAATTCCTGCCAACAGTCCTTCAGCCTGGTCTTCCCTGTCAGAAATTCCTGATGTCTGATCTTATCAGTGAAGACTGATGCAAAGAAGGCATTCAGCGACACTGCCTTTTTTGTGTCCTCTGTTATCAGGGTTCCCTGATAATAAGCCCACATAATACTTTGTTTTCATTTTTTTACTGATGTGTCTAAAGCTCTCCTTGTTGCTCTTGACATTCTTGGGCAGATTTAATTCCATTTGGTCTTTGTCACTGTTTCTTTTCTGCTTTGAAAACATGTCTATATTAATTCCAATTGTCCTGTCCAAGCTCCTGTGTATTTTCTGTTTATGCTTGAGTAAAGACAGAAGATTCATCCATGCAGGTCTCTTTCCATCTTTGCACAATTCATTGCTCTTCAGGATGTATAATTTTTGAGCCTGGAGGAAGTAATCCTTGAATATCAATGAGTTCTCCTGGACCCTTCTTCTTAGTAGAATCTGTTCCCATGGCATTTTTACAAGAAGATCCCTGAAGAGGTTAAAGGTAGCTTTCCTGAAGCCCATGGTTAAAATCTTACTTGCTTCACTTTTTCTTCCTTACCTGTTACTAAAATCTGCAATCTCATAGTCACTGCAGCCAAGGCTGCTGCCAGCCTCACATCTCCAACAACGCCTTCCCCTTTTGTTAGTATAAAATATTGGACCACACCATTTCTTTTCAGTTTCTCCACTACCTGTGTCAGAAAGTTTTAATCAATGTTTCCTGGGATTTCCTGGACTGTTTGTGCTTCTCTGTGTTGTCTCTCCAGCAGATGTCAGGGTAGTTACAGGCCTCCACAAGAACCAGGGCCTGAAACTTTGAGGCTACTTTAGTTGCCTGTAAAATGCCTCATCAACTTCCTCCTCTTGATCAGGCAGCCTGCAGCAAGCACCCAAAAGAGTGTCACCCTCACTAGTCTGCCTTTTTATCCTAACCCATAAGCTGTCAACTCAGTCATCGTCCATCCCAAGGCAGACTTGATATGTTCCAAGTCTGGCCTCACAAAAGAAGGTAACTCCACCACTGTACCTTTCTGGTCTGTCTCTCCTAGCAGTGTGTAGCCCTTCATGACAACATTCCAGTCTGTTAGAAAAGGCAGTGTTGTGGCAGAAGATTGATCACCTATCTAAACTCATTTGATGTGTGTGAGAGTTGAAAAGTTTCTGACCATGTTCTTTAGGTATTTTTTAGACATGGAGGGCACAATGTTTAATGTTTAATAAAATTAATATGAAATTAAACTTTTTAAAGAGAGCTGATGCTACACAGGCTTTTTGATTTAGAAGAGCAACTAAAAATATACTGAAATCTCAAAGGTAGATTATGGCAAAATGCAGCAGTTGTAATATACAGTTCTATCACAATACCAATGTGATTCCCATTGCCAGTCTCAACCATATGCTGTGTCATGATGCTCAGTGTTCTCAGTAGGAAGGAACAGAAGGTCTGATGCTAGCCCAAGCCTGTTGCTCTCTTAAAATTAATTTGCTGGTTGCCTGTTTTTTATAGTCGAGGTTGAGCTGAACAATTGTTCACTCTCCAGGTATTGGTCTGGCTAAACTGGGGAGACATTCACATTCTTTTGATGAAATCAGGGAATAACATTTACACCAGCAGTTCATAGCTGTTTATTTAAAACAATGGCCTTTGTGTGGTCTGTGTTCCCTTTGTGCTGAGATCAAGGTGAGGTTCCTTGCAAATGTAATGGTCTATCACACTCTACATAACTCCCAGAGCTTCACCTCTGCCCACCACTTCTCAGCATTACTCTCTTTAAAGGATTTATTGATCTGCCACAATAGGAGTCTATCAGAGGGAACTGAAAAATACAACAAACTGAAATACAGAAATAGTTTATAGAAAAATATAGAAAAATGTTTATAATCATTTAATCAGAGAAAATAAAAGAGGAAAAAATTTTGCTTTATTATTATTCCTTCTTTTTAAAAGATGTTTATTGTTAACAATCTGGATCAAACCAAATTTTGGTTTCTAAAGAAATACAGAACTTTTAAAACAATTTTAAAGAAAAAGTAAAATAGTCAAGGTCAAAACAGTGAAACTAAGTAATTTCAAACATAGAGAAAAACTAGGAAAAACAGTCTGAATTAGAAATAGGGAAAACTAGGTTTTGGAATCAAGAGTTGTGGAGTCATACTTGCTTTTGAGATCTGAAATGCTGAAAGCATATTTCTCTGCTGTCTGAGCATAAGTGCCTTCTTGGGCTCACTGAGTCCGCGCTGTCCCTTTTGTCAGGTGCTACTTATTTTTCCATTGGGTGATGGATTAGGCACATTAAGTTTATGGCTTTAAGCAACAGCTTTGTCCTGTTTATGCTCATAAGAGAAACATCAATCACATTCACCCCACAGCCCTGTAAGTTCTATCATGTCACTAGCATAGCACAAGTATGATGCCATTTGTAGAGAGAGGTATTACTCCCAGTGGTGCCTTCCTGCTATTGTGGTTTTCCTCATCAGCTTGGAAAACCTCACTCTGTGAATTGAACTCTCCCATGCAATAGGAAAAAATAATTTTGACAGCATCTATTATCTGGGAATTTGTAATTATTTCTTTGTTGAATGTCAAAATATTTTTCATTTTTATATGTCTATGAAACACTGTAATGAAAAGTAATACAGAAACTGTTGGCTAATATAAGAAGACCTGAAATGACAGATGATAATTTTGTTTTTGATGTTTACTTTGTGCCTCTTAGCATTCACAAACTATTGAAGAATACTTTTTGTATTATCATCTAACAAAAAACTCTACATACTTTTCTGTTTACTGCCAAGAAAAGACAAAGAGCTCTGTACTGGTTTTGTATTACTGATATTTGGTGAGGAGGGAAGAAGCCACCCATGGACGTGATCTTTCTGGGAGAGGCTTCTGTGAGCTTCCTCTGTGCCTGGGAAGGACCAGAGACCTGCTGGCTCTGAGAATCGGCAACCTATTAAACCACTTAGAAGCTAGATCCGCTTCTGTGAATTCTACATTTTAAAGATGGGCAAGCCCAGGAAATCTCTCTCTCTTGCTTCCGGTCTTGAAAGGTAACTGGGCTCTGGTTGGGTTCTGCCATGGTGCATGCGGTCTGGTGGGGCTGGGCTGGACCCCAGCAGTGGCTGGGCAGGGGATGGGAGGTCACAGGGCCCCGGCTGCTGACATCTTGCTGACACCAAGCCCTGTCCCACTGCTGCTGACCCATGCTGAGCTGGGGTCCCCTGGGCCCTGGGACCGGCTCCAGACTGGGCCAGGCCCCCTCCACTGCAGCCCCAGCGGCTGCTGGGCAGAGAGAGGGCCCCAGTGCAGCCTGAAATCCATCACCGTGACTGCTTCAGCCACTGCCCAGCAGAAACCATCATGACCATCTGCAGGCCTGGGTGAGATATTAAACTTTTCACTGCACAGAGGAGACCTGCAGACTTTGATCGTCCCTCAGGTGAGAGAAAAGGACAGAGTGATGACAAGTGGAAGACAACATGAAGACACCAAGGTCAGTAAAGAAGGAATCAAGTCCCAGATAGAAGAAGAATGAGGAGATGCCCAAGTATTGGCATCCATGGCATCCATGGAGATGGACTGTGATACACTGGAATATCCTCTTTAATTCACGATAAAGTATGGGGGAATGGAATATTCAAACTAGATGTGAGCAGAGGCATCCATAGTGAAGCAAAGCAGATGTTGAAGTAGCTTTGGTCCCATGAGAAGCTTGAACAGAGAGAGAGATGAGAGTGATGAAGGGCCTTTGCCCCCAGGGAAAGAAGAAGACGTCTGTTTCTAGAGATGAAGATGATCTCATAGATAAATGAAGAGAACCTTTGCTTTTGAACAACTTGTCTGTAAAATAATACCTTGTAAGTTTACATGGCCCGTTAGCTCAGCAGTGGGAAGGCTGTGAAAATGGGAGGAGTTTCACAATTGCAGATTTTTTTCCCAGGCAGCTGCTTTCCATGGAAATTAAAAGCCATGAGAGAACTGTTTCTTGTGGAGAAGTGTCAATAACATGGCCTGGTGAGAGAAAACTCCTCTCCCCACTAGAACTGATGAAAGATTGTTGTAGAGGTGGTAACTACTTGAAAAATCCCAGGTTTTGTCTCTATGCTGTCAGTTGGGAAAGAAAATAAGTTGGGTAGGGGGATGAAAAGTAAATCTGAAAGGTTTATTCTAATTCTTCTTATTCCTTTACTTCTGTAAATAAAGTTTTCTTTATAGCTTTTAAGAATTGAGCCTGCTTTGTCCTCCTTCTAATTCATATCTCACAGCAGGAAATGAGTAAATAATTTTAGCACTATTTTATCTGACAAAATATTAGTTGCGTGGCTTGGGGGGGAAAAAAAGCCAACTTCAAAGAAGACATATGGGGATCTTTCAGAAAGTATATTTTTTTTTTTTTTCATGTGAATAATTATTGTATTCATATATGGTACTAGAGTTGAGCTAAAGGTTATGTCCACTGGTCTGGCCACTTCTAATGAACAGCTAAATTTGCCTTAATGTTACTGTTTTCATTAGAATGGACAGTTAATCTTGATTGACTTTCTAAGTTTATATTTTACTGAGGAATCATCTTTTGTCACCAAATCCATTAAAGAGAGAAACTGATAGTTTAGGAACATATTTTTAAAACTTTTATTGAAACTATTTTAAAAAAAACCCAAACCCCTCAAACCCATGGCAAAATAAAAAAACAAACCAATGAAACAACAGCCAAAAAATCCCCAAACCCACCAAAAAGCTCCCAAAAAAAGACC